AAGAGGTCAGACTCCTCGCCTTCATATTGTAGCTCCTCCCCGTTCAGCGAGTGCAGCGTTTCTTCCTGTACGAGCCTCTCCACTTCCTCTATTAACTCCCCCCCTCCCAGAGTCTCTGTGCTCAGCAGGGAGGATGGGGGCTCATCAGGGGAGGGGGTTATGTGGGTGTAGGAGTCAGAAAAAGAGTCCGGGTCAGGGCTGGCCCCTGCCGGGCCCTCTGGGAGGCCCTCTGATTGGCTGAGTTCATCACTGCCAGGAACAAGGCTGTCGGAGACTTCCAGAGAGCTGGGAGGGGGGGCTTCAGTGACGGCGGCGGGCAGCTGCTCTGTTCCCGTGTCTTCACTTAGCTCTGCTGCTTTGTCTTCTGATAGCTGGGACAAGAATCAGGTCATTACAACTCCTGTGAGGTTTGAACTCAAGCTATGTGACTAATTCAATAGCACAAGACATGTTGAGCAGTATGGTAAATATAAAGCATGTTGGCTTAGTTTAGCTCATGTACCCGGGGGGGGGAGTAACACGATACTACCTAAAACTGTTATTTGTTCTTTATATTTAGTTTAATACCTAGGGAATTTTTTTTGTAAAAGAATCAATATAGGTACAAATAACAATCTTACTGTTTTACAATGGGATATGTGCTGGAAATGTTTTGGGCTAGAACCAGTTGCTAAGCAACCTTCAGGAAATTAACTGGCCAATAAATAGTCCAAAATGGTCCAAGAGGATATTGCTACCTTCAAACTGAGCCAACTGTTTCCAGTCTTTGTACTAAGCTAAGTTAGCCGGCTGTTGGCTGTAGCCGTATCATCATGGACAGAAATTAAATTAGTTTGGAGTGTCAATCTAATTCTCTGACAGACAGTCCATAGTGAGATATTGCTTTGAATTAAAACACAAGAAATAGGTTAAAGTGACATGGTGGTGCATTTCTGCATTTTGTGCACATGCTTTACATTTTTAAACTCAAATACTTGTACCGTTGTTTTTGAGCTGATTAACAAAAACATAATAGAAAATTATGTGTACTGCTGGCTCACCAGGTGGTGGCGCTCCTCAGGGAGCTCCTCCGCTGACCCTGCCTCCTCTGCGCCCTCTGCAGGCCGGCTCTCCCCAGGACCTGCTTCATCTAACACAGAAACAACGCAGGAAGGAAGACAGTTGTTAAATATATTTAAAACGGGACTATTTGAAATGTTAGCATAACTTACTTGGGATAAGTGTGTGGATAGCACAAAATGATCTGCTGTGGTAATGTACATCTTTATTTTAAATTGTTCCGGTTTTTTTTATTACCAAAGAAGACCCATGGGCAAAGCAAGTGATAGACTTGATATTATAACAGGTTTTTGTGTGAGATATATTTCCTGTGTCAAACACAATCTCACTATCCTGAAATGTATTGTGACAATCACCTGCTGCAGATGTGAGGCTTTCTTCATGGTGCTCCGTCCCCTCCTCCGCTAAAGGCCTCAGGGTTTCAGCTAAAGTCTCCTAGGACAAGCAAACAGTCAACAGGAAACAAACATTATTACCGTGTGTGTGTGTGTGTGTGTGTGTGTGTGTGTGTGTGTGTGTGTGTGTGTGTGTGTGTGTGTGTGTGTGTGTGTGTGTAGCCCTCAGGCCAGTGCCTCTAGAAACACTCCACCCACACTTTTCTTAAAGAAAACATTGTGAGCATCCTTTTATGATAAATAAATCCAAAAAAGAGAAGAGTCCCAATTGAATGAAGTAAATGGGGGGCCACGATATAAACAGAAAATTGAACAAAATAAATTCACAAAACATGCAGTATGATCCAAGTCTCATTTATCCAGTTTTATGAAATGCTCCCTTCTTCACATGCATTTCTGCTAATACCTAGCCATTTAAAATACTATGGACTCAGAAGGACAAGTAGCCCACCTGCATAGGCGTGAGATTGTTTACCCGGATGTGTTTTAATAAATAAGGCACTAGTTGTTTTCGAGAGACTAAACTGTTATAGTTTTCCTTGGTTTTAAACTCAGCACCATTAACTTCAATGCATGAAAAATATCTCCACTTTTTGATTCTTCGTTTACCATGCAAGACAAACATTAGTTTCTTTGAGAACTCAATGTAACACAGGGTAAGTAGTTAACAAACAAATAATTATTTAGAAGTTATGTTTTTCTTTCAAGGCAGTTTGCACTCCTGACGTCTTCTTACAATATCTACTTAATATCAAGGTGACCCAAAAGAAAATAAATTAGGACAAGGAGCTTTTTTCAATGAAATAATGATTTTTCAATGAGGTCATGCACAGTGACTTCCTAAGCTCTTAACTGAGTGGTGATACCTCAGGAGTGACGATGGTCCAGCTGTTGTTAGCACTGCTGACGCCAGACATGGCCCCCTAGAGGTTGTACCTGTCTCCTGTAACACAAGAGGAACAAACAAAACAGATTACAGAAGTTCACTGAGAATAAGACAAATGAAACATGTACTCTTTTGTGTGTTGTGTCTATACATCAAGCTGGTTGTGTGATCCTAAAACGATGCTAATCCTACATTTTTCTATAACGGCAATTAAAAAATGCACTTGTTACTGTAGCGACTGCCAACAACCCCATTGAGCAGGTGCATTACTCAGAAGATTGACACTAGCCCACAATTATGGTGACAGTGAGTACTGCAGCTAAAACATATTTACATATTCTCTTTACCCATGCTCTGGATTTGAATACATGGCTTTGCTATTCAGCCCCACCCATTCTGACAATAAAGGAGCTACTGTAACATATTACCCCGTGTGTGTGTGTGTGTCTGAGGACATGTGTTTAAGTGTGCAGGAAGTCCAGTTCCCTGAAACCATTGAGTCCTTCATTAGTAGTTTGTGTGTGTTGTGGGCCTTTTGGTCACCCTAGCTTTTGACTAGCTGGGAAATGTTTTGGCACGGGACAGGGGTAACTAAGGCTGGCACCATTCTTAAGATACAGACAGAAGAATGAGAGTTTCCATTTGAAAGTTACTGGTCTGTCTACAAACCGGTACATTCACACTGTATAATGGATATACCTTTTCCTATGTGGAATTTGGCTTCACAATGTACTGCAAGATAAACATACAGTGCTGTTTTCCTGAATCTCTGTCAACAGTTATGTTGCTGATTAACAAAACACCTTCCAGGATCCAGATCACTCAAGCGGAAACAGACTGACATTTCAATTTCACCTCCTGTTCAGATACAAGTGTCAGGTTTTACAGCTGTATGAAGCCCTTTCCTCTCAAAACAGCAGAGGAGAACATAACAGAAATACATATTTATCATGGGTCTGGCTTTTATCACTGAAAGCTAACCGCTTACATTAACACAACATTGTCTGGTAATGATGACACACTTCACTCGCCAAATTCAATTCTCTCCCAGCTCCGCAATTTAGGTCTTCTAATCGAGTGTCTCCCAAGAGAAGTCTACTGAATCTAGCCTAGGGCCCTCGGAGCATTGTGAGGCATATAGTGGAATGGCTTAAATAGATACTGGCTAAATATAGTTAGAGCGAGTGGAGACAGAGCATGTAGAAAATGGCCATAAGGAACAAAATAGAGATAGAAATGTATTCTAAGGACAGAGTTACAATAATTATTTTAACTGCACCACAAATCTAATGCTTTTAACAGAGGAAAATGTACTTTTCTATGTCCTGCACTTGGTTTTTACTCACAAATATAACCTGTTAAGCTTCTAAGAGGCTGGGTTACATCACATTTTCATAGCAGTCATATTTAAAGAGGCTACTTGACAGCCTGCCTGATCTCAAATTATTAATACCATGTCAAACAGTGATCTGCTATTAGTTTAAATGTAGCCTTTTTGTTCTTGAGCAAAACACAGCCAAATGAATGTTAACAGCTGTAGGCCAAATCTCACCATCTTGGTCTCAGCAGGGGAAATTACCAAAAAAGGTCAAAAGAATAAACCAGAGGACAGCCCATAAGGAAAACAATGTTAGGCTGTCAGTAAAAGCAGCATGTTTACAGCAGTTCACACACACAGCATCATAGAATAATAATGTATCTTTTAGTTATTGAGACCGCTTTAGAGAAGGGGCGTGATGTCTGTGACAGGAAATGTCATATGGCAGTGAGCACAAATAAAAATAAAACTTATAACCGAGATCAACTAAAAAATATCACTTCTGAAAAAAACTCATTGAAGACTAGTGTGAGCAGGCTTAAGCACTTAAGTTTAAAAAGCAAATAAATTAGATTACATTACACAACTTTCCACTTTAAGTGTCAACCGAGCTACCAGGAAAAAGTGAGTAAAACTACGTTGTCGACGCAATAGAAGAACAAAAAACAGACGCTGTTGCTTTGGAATATAAACACTGGTAACGTCAAAATGTAGGTTTATTCTTACCGTGGTTCGTCGATTTACTTCAGTTCCCACAGTCTGTCACAGATACAGCAGCAGACACTTCTGAGTCTTCCCATCCAACCTGCGAACTTAGAAAGTGCCTCATGAACTTGCAAGATTGCCCTTCTCGTCCAATCGCAGACAGCTTTGCCTCTGGACCCGCCCCGCTTCCTCCAACTCGACCAATGGCATGCGGCGTCAATGTGCTTCACTGGGAAATGTTCCAGGTTGATTGACACACACAGGTGACGGAGGGTATGTAAAACATACATCATCTTATATGCGTGAAGTCCATCAGTCCAAGGGTCAAAGTCCAAGGGTCGATTCAGATTATTCAGGTTTTTGGTTACAATATCCTTCAAGACAACTTGTAAAATGTCTCAATGTTTTTGTTCAATACCTAATTCATTAATTGGACCTCAATAAAGACACACTATTGTGCAAACTATGTCTAAGTCACATTAAAGTTGGACACCTAATCAATATTTCTATATATATATATATATATATATATATATATTCTTCAGCAGTACAGGTAAACTAAAATATTAACCAAAACAAAATGAAAAAACATGCAGACATAACGGTTATCTTTTTTCTATTCATCAGTTCTTTTATTCATTGCACACCAGTTTGTGTTGTACAGTGAACACCAGGGCTGCCATTCCTCAAGTAGTCAGATCAGCAGGGTTGAACTCAGGAAACTCTGACCCATTCTCTCAGCGAGCATTTGAAGCTTCTGAAAAAGTGCAAGTGTGTTTCCTGGAATCCAAGAAGAGCATCCTACAACCACTGAAAAACAGAGATAAACATTTTTCAACACAAACTATACCCCATAGAAATGGCTGCTTTCTAAAATTGAGATCCTCACTCTAACAGTAACATAAATTGCAATATAATCAAATTAGACTCAAGTAGTTTGTTGTCATATGAGACAAAACTCATACTTGCCAATGCTTTGCCAGAACTGCTGATCAAACGCTCCATTCTCAATTAAATAGAAGTTGGTTGAAATAACACTCAAGGAGCCGTCGGAAAAAAGTGAAAATCAATGTTCAACCACTTGATCTCTTAATCCAGGATCTCTTTGATGCACCAGCAGCAGAGCAGGAAATAAAGGCACTCCTTAACCGACTGGATAAAACCGTAGGCGACGTTTCCTCCCAATAAGTTCTTGCCTCTTCCCAGACCCATGGCCATATCCCGCAGATTCTGTCCCAGAGAGGAGGAGGAGGGCATGGCCTGAGGACGCTGGGGATGCATGGCTCCGGAGAGAAAACGAAGCAGAGGCATCAAAGAGGCCAGCCGAAGAGAAGAAATAGGAGGTGATGTCTGACAAGTTGAATCAGACTGTGCCAGTGCAACAGCTGAGGTCTGCTTCGTATTCCTGCCACAGTTAGCCCCTCTACTTATAACCTCCTATACAAGCTGCAGGCTGCCTCCATTCACATCCTGCTTTTTCGCGACTGTTCTCTGCTTTCAAACATCCGCTGATTGATTAAAGGCCTTGTTTACCTTTGCTTTGCACTATTCCCTTCTGTTGTATAGGACCCCACACACTCTCTCCCTGCACTCTAATAATCCCTGAATCAGCCCCCTACTGTTACAGGCTCATCTGTTAACAAACAAGAGGGTTCCAGTAGCTCCATCAGTACCACTGCCACTGCACCCCACTCTTTGTTCAGGACAGTACTGTATGTGACAGGTGATCATACCTACCAGCAGTGTCTGCTTTGTTGTTTATTTTCCAAAGTTGTTTGGTGTACTTTTATAGATAAATGAAGTTATCTTATAAATAAAGCCTTTACAACAAAGGGCCACACCCTCAGGCCTAACACACACTTATATCAGAAGCCAAACTCACAGAGAGAGATGAATGATATATGTATTTATATATGCAATCTATATTTTCAGATACAGGTGTAAACTAAAAAACAGAAACACAGAAAGTAAAAATCAATATCTTTGCACGCTATTCAAAATTAACCTTTGGCTTTCACAAATTAAAAAGTACAACAGCATCATCAACACTATCACCATCACCAACAACAAACACATAAAAAAAAAAGAAGGATTTTCATGCAACAAAGGCATCTGTGATGAAGGAAGATAACACAGGACTGGTTCACTAATGATGACGAGGGTCCAGTGGGTCAGTTTATGAACACACACTCACAGTATTGGCAGATATTAAAGCTCTGGTTTTCCCATCTCTGACCTACAAAAACCTAAACAGGCAGAGTGTGTGTGTGTCTCACTGACCCAGCTGTCAGTCAGGTATGTGTATGTGTGCATTACATATGAACCCACTTCAGGGTCTGACGACTAGTTGACAGTTAAGGTTTAGCTTAAAAGATCCCTTCTCATGTTTCAAGAGTTTGGCATCGACTTCTTTGACAAGTTCAATTGGATTCAAAAAGAGCTACCTCAGTGCTGTGTTTTTTTCTCATATAAGTTATTAAGGACATGAAAACAATAATCCAACACTGAACTGACCAATCAAAAGTCTATGTTATTTACAGATGGTCAGGAAATTACCCCTCCCTCCACGATGACATCAAGTATCTGTGACTATAAGCTGAATGCAAAAATGTGCATCAGAGGAGATTGCCATCACTGGATCTGTGTGTGTGTTTATTGGAGTGTCATTTTTGCAAAGTCTTTGTTTAACTTTGTTTAACTGAAAGGCTTGTGTGAGATTCTCCTGTAGTCTACTACATTTGAATTAAGTACATAAGGTGACTGCATTGAAGTGACGTGACTGCATTGAAGAAACAAGGCACAATTAAAAAGATATAAAAAAACAACAACATCATCATCATGAACTGAGGAAGGAGAAATGGAGAAGGACAAAAAATAGCGTGAACTTCTCCCCCCTAGGTCCTCAAAGTTTGTGAAAGCAGCACACTGAGGAGCAACATTTGGCTTAACATTAGCAATGCTCCGAAAACAGGTATGTACTTTTTGTTCAATTACCACCAAACCACCTCATTTTCTTTTTCAAAGCACATTATTCCCTCAAGTGATTGAGGGAATAATAAAAATAAAGCAACATCACGATTCACAAAATCACCTTACCAGTTACAATGATCATTTTGCAGAGGGAGAGTAATTGCATGGACTGTTCAATGTTTGCCTACATTTAAAGCACTCTTTTTTAAAACTCCTTTGCTTTCAGTCATAATCCTCCGTAAAGATATAAACCATAGATTGTCAGTGCAAACACACACTAAGTGTCAAATGATGCTTCTCTTAACATACTTGCTATTGCGTTTTTTTTGGTGACATCAATACACAATTTACTTACAAAATCTCAGTTTTGATTATGTAGTCAAACACAACACCTAGATTCTTCTCCCCCCTAAATCCAATTTTAATATGCATATTAAATCTAAACTTGCTCCCTATGCTGTAAGCCTACATGATAGATAACTGCTGATAGTTGCCATGGCTTTCTCTGCTGTTGGCAACCAATTCATGTTCTTTGGCATGACAGGTGGTGCAGACCGTGTGTGGTTTAAAGGTGTGTGTGTGTGTGTGTGTGTGTGTTTACAGAGGGATTAGGGAGATACAGCTGTTTAGATCCTCCTCAGAATGTCCTAGAAGTAATGAGTCCCAAGATAACAGTTACAAAAAAAAAAGGACGTGGCGATTGGCATAGCAATCCCCCAGTTTTGCATACAGGCTTTCATCATCGCCAGGTATCACTCCAGGGGTCAAAGTTCAAAAGTCCTTAAAAGGGGAGTGGCTTGGGGCAGCCTCCCCTGATTAGGTTAGAAGCAAAAACTCGTTTATGCATAATCCCCAGGCTTTTTTGCTTTTTTAAAGTCAGGTTTGCTGCTGAAGTGCTCCATTGACACTGGAAGTGAAGAGTCTATGTCTCTGGAAAAAACAATCATTAACATCCAGTTCCTGTTTTGCCAAATATGCTCCAGCGACAGTGTGAGGAGGGGAATAATTTCGCTGAATGAAACAACACACGGTTACAAACACTGAAAATCTCATTCAATGTCCCATTAATGCTCCTTTCTTCATGTTTGAGTCCTTTTTTTTTGTACAAGATTCCATGTATTAGTTCTTATTTTTTTCTCATAAATTGCATGTTATTTTTTTTTCTTATAAAAAAAATGCATTTTGTTTTCCGCCCTGTTTTAAAATTAGCAAAGGGCTCCTCCCTGGTTCACAGTAGGCTGTTGAGAAATTGCAGCGGTGCTTCTCCGTGTTGGAGGGGTGCGCCTGAAAAGAGTTGGGGGTCGAAGACTGCAGGTCATAGTTCAGCTTTCAGAAAGGAAAGGAATATGTAGCAACAGCAGCAAGTGTGTGATTTACAGAAGAATTATATTTTTTTGGCTTTCTTTGCAGTGTTATGTGCATATTTATTATTGTATAATGTGTGCGTCTGTGTTTAGTGTAGTGTTGCTGTGTTCAAAGCATATGAAGGTGTCTTTGTCTTGTGTTGAATTGCTTCAGGAGTGTGTGCATTTGGTGGAGTATTGCATTGGTTTGTGTAACGTTAGGCTCTGCGCTCTACTGGCTGTTGCAGACACACTTCGCTACCAGCAGATACGATGGGGAGTCTGTTGTCCATGTGGTAACTGATCAGGTGACTCACACTTTCAAACCGATGGTCTTTTGTGCGGACCTAAAAGACATAAAAAAAGTGTTAAAGGCAAGTTTGAAAAGATACAAACCTATACAACCATGTGTTAGGAATACAAAATGGCCAATTCATGCTTCTTCCTCCCCTTTGTAATCTCTCTCGCCCCTTATGATCTCCTCCCCCCTTCATGACTCACCACTCCTTCTGGGTCGACTAGTAGCAGGTGTTTGGGCTGACCCCCCTGCTGTCCCGTGAGGACATACTGTCCAGGCGTGGTTCCAGACTCTCGCACGAGGAAGTCTCCATCGCGGGTCAGAAGCCTCTCTGCCTCCCTGCGACTCAAGCTACCGTGGAACCAGGACTCGCACTGCAGCTGCTCCACCAGAGGGGGCGCCGCTGACACCGAGTTTGGACCACCATGTCCAGAGACTCCCAGGGCATCGTCAAACGGCTCTATAGAAAACAAATACACATATAATTGTATTATTTTATTGTTTATGCACATGTATAGGAAAACTCATGTTCCTCGTTTATTTTATAAGGAAGATGATTGGACCTTATCCAAGTGAAGCGCATGGATTGACAGATGCGTGCTCTACTCTGATAGTGGACTCTAATGTGAAAAGCTTTACGCAGTCAACCAATCATGTAACATAAAATGCCCCTGTAATGGACAAAGGCACTCTAATTCCCTTATCTTCCTCCAAGACTGCCTTCTGCGGCCAGCTCCACTCTTCAATTAGCCTTTCATATGGAATGTAAAGCACACACTACTCTGCTCGTCTCCTCAGTCAATAATTAACCCCTATTCTTTCCACATGGCAACATAACTGCAAATTTGTGCTACCGGTATTTCTATTCATTAAGCTTTCAACCCACAGAATCTTTCATTTACAAGAAATCATATAATAACTTATTTCAGTTATTTAATTTCCCTGCACTTATTCAGTGTTTTTTTAGACAGCAGTCCATTTCAGCTTCAATTATCGAGCTGGTGTGATATTACTAACACATAATAGAAAGACCGAGTAAAGCACTTACTCATGTCAAAAGCATCTCTGTGAGCATTTCCATTGGCTGCAACTGGGAGACGGGGTTTGTCAACGTTGACGTATGAAGGGTCGTCGAACAGTTCTCGTCCCCCTTCTTTGGCACCCACTAGAAGAAGGAAAGGAAAAAACAGGTAAGCGACCTTAGCACAACTTTTCCATTTCTTCCTTTGCCATGCACAGTTGATAGATTAGTTACAATTAGCATGGGGTTGTTGAGTTACGGGACAACATGTTGTGTGCAGTCAAAGTGACCTTGACCATTGTCCACCAATATCTATCAGTTCATCATTGAGTCCAATTGGCTGTTTGTGCCAACATGGTGGTCGCAAGTTTATAGATTGAACAAATAAAGAAAGACATAGTATTGTAAAAAAAATTTGTGACTGAGTTCTATCATAATTGCACCTGGATGAAAATCTGTCCAGTGCCTTACAGAGACTCACCTGGTAGAGGCGGCAGAGGCTGCTTGTGGATGTCATTATGGCCTGGCTGTCCATACGGCTGCAAACACAGAGGAATAAAAACAAATAATGACTCATAACCACATGTGGGCTTGCTCTTGTGTCTATATACACAAATATATTCCTATTAATAGGGTTACGAAGGGTCACTGTCAATTTGTATAGCACAAACAGGGCAACTCATATTATTGCCCTTTCATTTTCTCGTCTTGATAACATTTTGAAGCGAGGTTTTTTAACTGGTGTATCATCTATTGACTGCAGTATAAGTATAGTTTGGATGTGTTGAAGCAGTATCTGTTGCATTTTATATGCATATTTCTCACCAGCGTGGCACCCGGGCGGGTCCTCATGTCAACCAGTCCACCAGGGGGAGGCTGTTTTCCAGGGAAATTATTATAGTAAGGGACGTCAGGAGGTTGAGCAGCCTCTTCATCTTCTTCCTCCCACGCAGAGCCGTCAAACGGAGCCATTCTGAGACAGAAAGAGGTGATCAAAACAGATAAGATAAGACAAAATACAAACACAGGCTCATGTTTTGGGCCTGAGTGAGGGACATGTTTTGCATTTACCTGTCGTGAGGTGTGACCAGTTTGGGAGGGTTCTTTAGGTACTGTTTGAAACGCAGTTCAAAGGCCTGGCCAATGGTGCTGATGACTTCCTGGGCTAAACCCTCTGAGCACTCCAGGATATGACAAGCTAGAGAAGAGGAAGCACACATGACTAATAAGGAAGCTGCAGCAACATGTACTTGAATATAATATGCAAAGATAGAGAAATATTTGGAATTGCAAGCAAAGAAGAATACTGTGTATGCATGTGCATTTTCAGCAGCAGTACATTCTTACATGTATCTTGAATAATGACACTTAGGTAGTTATTACTGAATTGAATAGAGAACACGAATAGTTCTAACTATAATAATATAGTTTTAAATATATCATTTTTCTGTTGCTCCTGAGCTAAATGCGAAACAGGGAATTTTATTTCCATCCATTTTAGATAGTTACATTGAAAATTGATCACATGTTCACATATTTAGCATAAGAGCATGGCTAAAGCAGAATGTGCCAAACAATTAAAAACCGTTGTTATTTGCTATGCCTATTTAGTGTTCAATGCACTGTTTCTTCCTTCGCTCTGCACTCTGAGTCTGTAATGTCTCAGCTCTAGTGGGTGACTTCTCAAATTCAAAAGAGGGTAAAATATGAATAGAGCCATATCATTAATTTAATAGGATTCATTATAATTTCATAAAACGTCTTGTTCTCATTTATTTACAGCAGTGTTTCTCAAACTTTTTCATACCAAGGACCACTTAACCAATAAAAAAACGCTCGCGGACCACCTAACTCCACAAATATAAAAAAACACAGTTTTTCTAGAACAGATTACAAATCGCCTGAAGATGGTACAAACAAGTGGCAACATGTGTGATGAAGGTGTTGCGCTGGGCTATATCATGCAATCAAAAGTGAAACGTAACCTCGCTCCATTGCGGAGATATTCTCGCGAGAGTGCGGAAAACTTTAATTAATTAATTAATTTCAAATGTGAAATGTTACCAATATACTCACGGACCACTAGGGGGCGCTCACGGACCACCAGTGGTCCGTGGACCACACTTTGAGAAGCACTGAATTACAGCATTATACAGAAGTACATGTAGTAGTATTTTTAAAACATATTTCACCATCCAGAGACTGAATGTAGATAGAAAATGTGGAACTCGTGTACCGAAGGATCGCGGTCAGAGTTCTGCTCAAACCAAGGGACTGAGCAAGTTGACTTCAATATGATTTTTTAAGAGCCTCTTTCGTCAGACGCTGCCTGAGTGAAGGTGTCCTTTCTGCTCACCTCTCTGGTTGACTGGGTCTTTGGCCACATATGCTACGTACTCAGCCGTATCCTGAGGGAGACAGGGTGAGAAAGTTAGGAGGGAAGGGTACAAAAATATCAGGAGGAAAAAGTGAAGGGCAGGTTTGAGATAGAAAGGTTAAACAGAAGAATAAGAAGAAAGAGATCGAGCAAAAGCTGCTGTCTTAAAGTCAAAACAGAGGTTAAAAACATACATTGAGCTGAAAGAGAAAAAGACAGGAAGTACCAAGATCAAGGTTGAGAGACAAAGACTGCAAACCAGCGAGGCAGCAACGGAGTGAGTGGCATTCTTATGAATAGACAATGACAGAAGACAGGAAGGAAGGATATGCAGGCTGAAGAAAGATGGAAAAAGGCCAGAGTGAGATTTGAGCTGAGCTAGACAGTGACTCACTGGGTCTCCTCCAGAGGCGAAGGAGATGGACTGCATGTGATGGTTGGCGATTATCTGTGGAGAAAAAGAAAGAGAGAGAGAGGGGGGGAGAGAGGGAGACAGAAGGAGAGCACGTGGGTGACATGAAGTATGTGGGAAGTGAGATGAAAGCATGTGGATGGAGAGACAAATGTGGAATCATTACTGGGAAAAGTGCTTTCCCCTCCATTGAAGCTTCAACTGCAGCAGAGATACAACTAAGTGGGACACCTTTTTAACAGTCTGCAGCAACCACCCATTCAGGATCAATAAAGACATCAACACTTGCTAATGCTCCGTGCACAATGTGCGGTCTATGTCTGAGGCTTTATTTGTGAATAGATGTATGTGTATGGCATGTTTCTTTGTGCACGGCACTATCCTGTGCTGATGCCACAAAGAAATAAACATAATTCAGCAGTTATTAACTCATAAGCGGAAGATCACTTCCTGCCCCGTGGCGATGCAGGAATGAAGACGATGGTTGAGAGTAGTTTGTGCTTCATGCAAAATAAATGAGGCAAGGGAAGAAGCCTATTACTTCCCTGGGCATCTTTAAAAGGTCACAACACATACAAATAATACCTTGAGTTAAGTGGATATTTATTAAGATATTTTCTTGATGTAAAGTCTAAAACATATATTTCTTTAACAATTCAAGTACGACTTTATTATTAAATCTGATGTTTATATTAAATACAGAGTAAAAGTGACGGATATTATGTTATTGAAGCTTTAAAAACATTATTTGAAATGATCATAAAACTCTGAAGTATGTAGGTCATAATAGTATATATAATTATGATAAATAATAATCAGGCGTTTAACATAGTGTAGCCAGCTTTGAATGACAAACAATATAATATTTTTAAAAAAATGTATAAAGTTACAATCGTATAAAAAAAATTAATTTCTAAAAATCTTTTTGAAGTTAGTTTTTATAATCCTTAAATCCACATGAAATACCTCAAGCAGTGAGATCTTCAGGTTTGCTCTGCTTCAGTAAACTGCACAGGCTTAGTGCTCTCCAGATACCAAACACACCTCTGGCTACAGAGCTCTAACTATCAGACGCATCTCTGACTCACAGTCAAATCTCTGCAGATCAGGGACAACTCTACAGACACCAACAGAGTTTTTTAAGGAAAAATACACAGAAAAGCAGCTTCAAGTGTGAGCTGGTTGTAGTCTAACCTGTTTGCAGTCAGCGGCCAGAAGGTTGAGGCTGCTGGTGGAGATGGTGAGGGTGATTGTCATGCCGGCAAATTGCAGGTTACTCTTCCCCAGGATGGATGTCATACAGCGAGAAGATGGCTGAGAAAGACAGGGATTTCATCAATGAGTAACAAACAAGGTGCAAAAACATAAACAACAGGCTTTTTTTTGTACTCCAACATGGCACGGTCGTTCATTGAGTCCCCCCTGCCTTTGCATGAGCCTGTGGGCGTATGTGTGGACATGCCTGTGTGTGTGGGAGTGGAAGAACAGCTGCAATTGTAAAAATGATCCTGTCTCCAAGGCCAACTGTGTCCAATGAACATCTAGCATACTGAAGGCTGGGCCAAGAGCATCACTCAGACCAGCAGTGTTGTGCCAGCCTTTCATCCCAATCCTCCTCCTGCTCTCATCCATATTTGCCTCAGAATATTTGGCGTGCGCTGTGAGAAATATAGCATGAGGGCAGGATGCACATTGCTCAGCCACATTAACCTCAGTCCAGCCAAATCCGAGGGACTAGACTGCTTTTATTCTAGTTTACATCCTTAACTAGACGTTGTCTGGTGCGCCAGACATTCCTTGTTTAAATCCTACTCTGACAGCGGGCTGCTGGATTTAGCCACCTGTTTTATTGAGTGTTTGGGTGGATGTTTAGTTTTACAGGAACACATGGAGTCTTAACGCAGCAGACTCTCGACTGCATCTGCGTTTCTTTAATGCTTCTCTGGCCAGACAGTGGCTCCACACATGCTACTACTCCACCTCTCCAGCCTCCCTTGTGACAAGAGGGTGGGAAAAGGGAGACCGGAGAGTGATTGGTAATTAGGCCACTAACCGCAGAAGAGTACAATCATCCTAAATCAAGGTGTGTGTGTGTGTGTGTGTGTGTGTGTGTGTGTGTGTGTGTGTGTGTGTGTGTGTGTGTGTGTGTGTGTGTGTGTGTGTGTGTGTGTGTGTGTGTTTGTAAGGGAAAGTGTGTGACCGAATAGCCAACTGACCACAGAGTGGACAATCAAGCTAAATCCAGCTCTAATCCTGAAAACTCATTCCCACCGCCCACTTAACCCGTATAAATAAATAATGCCGTGTAAGGGTGTGTGCTTGTGTACATGTTGTGTACCTTTCTCCGGCGCTGTGCTCCTTTGGCTCCGGGCACGGCCTCGCACACCACGGAGATTGCCTCCCTGAAACACAACATGCAAGAATTACAATAACATGTCATTAATCCTTACACCTTATCGGAATCACAATTATGTGGACAATTAAGTGAGAGCTGGCAGTGGCTGATTTAATTTATCATCCCTACACTGTGCTCGTCTTTTCCATGGAGACAAACATCACTACGGAAACCAGAAGGATACCACAAGGATTCCAAAACGTTCTAATTTAGGGGATGCAAGAGCTGCAGGCGTGCACACACACATACAGTCACTAACTGAGTAAGTAATAAGCAAGCAAGCAAAAGCGAGCGGAAGCCGAAGAGGCGTCAAATACATATATGAGAGGTGGGCGGTGCTTTTTGTCTGACCACACTTCCCCGCACCATCTCGCCCCCACATGCAGCGATGAGAAATTAAGTGAGCAAAATGGCCCGCCAGTGACAGAGGAGCAGTCTGTAATCTCACCTGGTGACCTGAGTTCTGGTGTTGAAGTCCAGCGCTCGCATCGACTGTAGCACTTCCACGCAGCCCATGTACTGAAATAGGAAACAGGAAGGCAACGCATTAGGATCAGACATTTCCTGCATCACAGTCCCATTGCACAGATGGAACACAACAGAGGAAGAAAAGCAATGGTGTTTTCTTTTAATTTCTGGAGTCTTAAAAATGTGAGAGAAGGCGGTTTATATGCATAGAAACTGTCTGGACAGAGGGATGTGTGATTATATATTTTAGGGGGTTGTAAGAGTGTGCCAGACACTCACCCGGACACTGTAGGAAACACCGGCGGTGGTGACCACACTGTCGGAGTGCAGCCAGCCGCGGGTGGGCTTGTTGACAAAGGATCCATGGCGCGTCCACTCGTCTCCTCCCAGCTGCCCTCCTTCCACGCGTGCCCTCCTGGACGCCCCTCCCAGCCGGTTCATGTCCTGCAGAGGAGGTCGGGGAGGGGGAGAAGGAGCGGTTAAAGGGGGAATTAGGCGATGAAAAATAGGGGAGGAGCTGGAGTTACTCCTGTCGTCCCCAGAGGACTCAACAGGCGCGTGGGGCAGCTGCAGCCCTCTCGAGGCCTTGAGTCCAGGGAGAAGAGTGGCAGAGACACCCAGGCGGAGGGATCCCATTCTGGGGAAGAAGGAGCAGAGGGTGGTGGGGCTGTTCTCAGCCTGGCGGGGAGAGGAAGGGGGCAAGATGGGAGTGAGAGACGAGGAGGAAAAAGAGGAAGGTAAACCAGGGGAGGGAGTGAGCGGGGTAGCAGGACTGGATGGAGGGAACGATGATGGATTGGAGTTTGTTTCATCAGTTGAGCTCAGCGATTCACTCCGAAAGTGGGTGTACTTGGTTTTTGGGACGAGCTCCATAGTGAATCTGCAGTGTCAAGTCTTTAAATCCACACAGTCTCTAGTGATTCAAACAAAGTCTTTATGTCTCAGTATTCAATGTGTTTCTCTATAAGGACACCCAGCCATCTGTATGTCTCTGTCAGCATAAGAGCAGCACCCATCTGTCTGGTTGTCTGTCCTCCACTCGTTACCAGGCGGCTGAAACCCAGCTGCTTTGAAAACGGCTGTACCCACGATGAAAGGAGAACGAGAGGAAGAAAAGTTGGATGTCCCAGTTAATGGAAGAAGCCGATGAAAAAAGTTTATTTCTTCTGCACCAGTGCATATCATGTTGTCATCAGTTCACTTTTAAATCTGCATCAAGGTTCATATGTTCCCAGGGACTGAGGACGACAGTCTTAGCTCTCCACAAAGTGTTCGTCTTGGAGTTTTTGCCACAATGTAAAACAATATCTGTGAGTATCTTGACCGGACTTAATAGCCTCTCAGTGAGGGCCTGTTATCCAGCTGTCGGCTTCACCATGGAGAATCAACACAAGTGATTGTCTCTCAACGCCCCCTCCCATGTGTCTTTGCACTGAGGGGTGCGCTCTCATATGTGATGTGTTGACACGTGTGTGAGGCTGTATAAATCTTCCCTGCCCACACTGCTTCTTAAGATTATCTGTGTGTGTGTTGTGGTGTGTACATGCGTGGAAGTGTGAAGCCTTTTGGCAGCTCTATCCTGCTTGACACATGCCTATAAAAATCCTATTAGCAGCCAACGAGGGGATCACAAGGGGGTTGCGCGCATGAACACTCCAGCAACACACACAATAGACAGCTCCAATTGTTTTTCGATACTACAGTGAGCACCTGCGGGGCTGAATAAAGCTGCTAAAGAGAGGAGGCTTACTGATGTATGGCTAGTATCCAACGCAGCACGCTTTCTTTAACACCTACTTTCGAGTGCATCGTAATCTCAAATCTTACCACGCGTTCCTGTTTTACTCCCTCTCTTTCTTCCTCCAAATTATATCATGTCCTCTCTGAATGGCCCTGGCTCTCTCCCTCCCTGCGTCTCCTTCTTCTTCTTCTTCTTCTCCTCTCCTCTTCCAGATAACTTCTGGCCCTACCCCGTTCTCTTTCTCTGCACACTTTCCTCCCTTCTCCCTGTCTCTCTTCTCCTGGAAGCCCTCTCTCTTCCTCCACACAATGTACTCTGCCAGTCTCTGTCTCTCCAACGCCTCCGCCCTCTCCCTCACCACCACTTCCTCTCTCCTCTTCCAGATGATCTCTCGCTCCCCCTCACCCCCTCCCTCGTATGCTCTCCCGTTCTCCAGGCTGTCTGGTTAACAGTCCCCTGTATAATATATTAATGGTGAGCCCCGTCTTTCCGCCTCGCCAACTTTAATATTAAGGATCTAGAGGCCAGGCACGGTCACCTATTTAGACACAAGTAGAAAACAGAAAAGAAGCGAGTAGAAGAATGGGCCGTTAGAGTTTGGCCCGTTCCTGACTCAAGTTCCTGATATGGCTAAAACAAGTTGCCTTGGTTCAAGTATGTTTCCAAAACTGGCCAACTCGGTAAGGATGTTTTTTTTTCTAGAGCACCATTAGTTAGTGGTAAGCTGACTCTGAGATGTTGTCTGTGTTTGGTAGTGACACACTCTGCAGTAGCACGGTGGTGATGTAACACCAGAGAATGTAGGTCATTGGCTGATGACGACTACCGGTGGGCTTGTGATGGTAATGAGACCTGAATTGTCCGGTTTGAGCCCTCAACCCAGCATTCCCTGAATGGTGCTGGATGCTCCTGGGAGTTGAACTCACCAAGCTGGAGAGGCTCAAATAAAACTGTTGGTATGTTGAGTTTTTATTTGCAGCTCTCTTCTCACCCTATTACTTGATTACTGCGTGGTTTAAAACAACAAACCCAGATTGTAGTCAGTTTCCTGAGAGAAGAGCTTTGACTCAGCCCTATATGGTATGAACAGGCCACATGTCTTATTCTGCATAGTCCAACCTAGAAGGCAAACAACAGTCTGTTTACAGTAACAGTCTCTTGCAGAGTCCAACTAACTAAACCATGTGCAGCAGTTTGACCTCAGTAGAAGGTAAGGCAGTCCTGCAGCAAGCTGGCTGGCCTACACCTCAGTGCTGTTTACGCACCTGTTATATTTAAAATCTCTTGACCTTTACTCCCTGAAAGGAGAGCAAGATTTACACCACCTTGCCTACACCACTTATACAACTCTGTGAATCTGCCACCGAAGTTTCAGTGATGCCAAGTGAGGAGGTTGACTTTACCACACACTAACATTTCCAAAGTTAACTGTGTTCAAAGAACTACGCACCAGCTTGTAGTGGGCGCTGAATGCATGGTAAAGGAACAGTCGCCCACACCAGTCTAGCACCACAGAGGGGTTGTCTAGTAATTCTAGCTAGTCATCCATCTGGTCCTGGCCAAAAAGCACCATGGAGGATCCAGTCACACTAACGCACTGCCAGACAGGGTGGGATGATCTCCAGAAAACTGTAAAGAAGTATGGCTGGAAAAAGTCACAAAAGACACCCTGTATTTGGACAATCAAAAAGCAGGCAGAACAAACAACACCATCTGTCACAGACCTAATTAAAACAGAAATTAGTCTTGAGAGGGAATTAGTTCTTAAAAAGGCAAAAGATCCTAAATGGACACACAAGAGGAAAATCGACAAAGGGATGCTGACAGTCTCAATGCCCTGCCCGAATTGTTTAAGTGCACAGAACACAATGTAGGTCAGGTGACTGCAGGGGGAATGACCCTCTGCATGAGGATAAATCCTGACTCACCTACACACAGACAGTGAGGGGAACAGACTGTCACAAAGAGCAGTACTAATGATCAGTGATTAGTGGCACAGCAGCGGCACTGAGTGACATGTACAAATGCACGATAATCAAATGTATGCAGTCATTCCTGATATTGGCAGCTTCACTGATGAAAATTGTAGTTGCCGATAAAGGTGAAATCAGGACAAGCGGGGCTGCGCCGATTCACACTAGACTAAAGCAAAGAATGGGGAGGGGGGAGACAGGTGACCTGAAACAACCCTGATTCTCGGAGACTGCTGCGCTCCGAATAGACAAAGGATGTCTAGTAAAGAGAAAACATTCTAAGAAAGAAAATCTGCAAACAACCATGTACTTTTCTTATCTACACAACTTACACAGTTATCCTAAGGGAACAGCACCGGTTTTAAAATACAAGACACAAAAAACGACTTTAAATCTTGTTCTGTCTGCAGCTGCTGCCCGTTGCTATGGCAACAGACATTAAAAAGAGATGCCTGCGGAGGAAATTTACGGAGAAGTCCCGACAACCACAGAAATCTTCGGACAAAGAGATAACTGCTTTGTCAAATCACATGACAGCAATTAGCTGCTGCATCAAAGGCTGCACATGGAGCTTGTTTTCCAACAGCAGGAACAACTAAAGACTCAGAGAGAGATCAATAGGTTACAGGAAATGATCAAAGTTTGACCGGCGTCGCGCCAGCCATAAAACCCAATCAATGTTGACATCCCATGTCGGCTGCATGCACTGATTCCGACTATGGCAGGCAAAACTGTTATTATATCAAAAGAACAATTAGCACTTTCCTAATTACAGTATAAACAACAACAGCCACACAAACCACTTACTTCTAAAAGACAACACTGATGTTTAGAAAAGTTGCATAAAACCCTGAATATTCTCAGCAGCAGCTAACAAAGATAGTGATTGTATAACGTCCTGCAGAGAATGCTCATAGAGAATAGAAAGTTATGTCACAAAGAGTCTATGTTTAAAAAGACAAACAGAAAAGTCATTCAAATAGTTTGGGATAAAGTGAGTCTGATCAATTTCTCTAAGAGTTTTTTTGTTGTGAATGGCTAAATAAATAGTTCCCTTTTTTGGTTTAAAAAGCCTACAGTTGATAATCCATGGTGATTAATCTAAAGCTTCTTTTTTACATGAGAACCACATTCATTTTTAAACAGCCTCAGACTGTCCGGTCTTCTGTCCTCTCCTTCCTCTTTCTGGTTCTCCGTCCGTCCACTCCCTGAAAAACGTGTTTCTCCTCTGATCCGCTCGATTAATTCACAAAGTCACTGCCGGCAGCTTCTCTCCATCTATCCTCTCCTCCGTTTGGCTGCCTCCTCTTCTCTTTACTGCCCTCCTCTCCCTCTCAGCAGATGGTGTGATGGCAGTGCTGCCAGGATGGACAATGGCACTCCTTCATTGTGCTCCTCTTCTACCCTCTCGTCTGTCTCTCATTCCCACTTTCCTTTCACCTCTGTCTGTTGGAGGGACGCGCACGCTGTCTGTCCTCCCCTCCCCTCCTCCCTGTTTGGGTGGGTGAAGCTGCCTCCCATTTTCTCTTTGACTTTCTCTCTCTCTCTCTCTCACACACACACAGACACACACACTGGCGTGGTTGCTGCCTCCCCACCTCCCTTTCTCACATCCTTCCTGTTTCCTCCCCCTTCCCCCCACCTCTCTGCAGCCTCACTCATTTAACAGGGTACATGTGTATGCACATTAAGATGCTGCGCTCCTGCACATTAACGCACACAATCCAAGGGGGAGATGAAGATGTGGCTGAAGGGAGGAAGGGGTGAGGGGAAGGAGAAGTGTGTGTTTGTGTGTTCATGTTGGCTGGTCAAGTCTCCTCCCTTATTCATGTTTGGTAACCTGAGAAACAGAATAAAAGAGGAAGGGAAAGAGAGAGAGGGAGGGATGATGGAGACAGACAGGGGGAGAGAGTTCATTCTCCCTCTATGGGCTGAGAGTGTAACATGAGGTCACTCTATTTAACCTTAATGAAAGTGGACAAAACAAAAAAAAAGGACAAATATGTTCCTTCACATAATAAACAGTCTATGTTATTACTATAACTACAGCGCTCTAGGGGGAAAAGGACAGGCAATTAGCAGGCGAGCTCAATAACAAGCGAGTGATTCTGTAGAGGCAAACAGAAGCAGAGGTCCCCACAGAAAGGTCCCGACACTCAAGCGTTTCTGATAAGATGGCAGTGTAGTGGAAAGCAGAAGAAAGCACACACAGGGTGACGCGGGGACAAAGCAGAGTGGATAGCAAGGAGTCCTCAAATGACACCCCAATGTTCAGTCCCTGCAGTACTACGTCTGGCCACTACACCATCTTGTAGTGGAGTGGTGCATTCAGGTTAGTGTGAAGGATGAAAAACAGAGAACTGCAGAAACCCTGGGGTGTCATTTAAGGTAACATCCATCCCCATACAACACACAGTGAGCAGCAGGACCCTCCACCCTAACCTGCACCATGCCTGTAACCAGTGAACACAGGACACACTGTGGCTTAGGGTTGATAAGAAGATAATACTCATTTATTAAGTGCATATTTATTTGCTCTATATTTACTCAGCTGGCAGTTTATGAGTTACATCCAACAACAAATAATGCAGTCTAGAGCAATAATCCCACAAACGTAAACCTCCATGATCATAAGGTTGGATCAAAACTTTTTCTTTTTTTTTTAAATGTTCTGTACATTAAAATCTTAATAAATGTAGGATTTCTTTGAGGACTCTAGTATTAGACTGCATTTTTTAAACTAGATGTAACTGGCAACCTATAGTTAATGATAACTCACTTAAACCGCAATAGATTGACATACACAGGGCTGCACAATTACTCATGATTACACACTGTGACTTAATTTTCCAGTTAAACATGACTCTATATTACTGGCATGCTAGCCATTGTGGTAAAAATGTTCTTTTTCTCTAATCCTCTGTAAGTGTCTGGCAATATAATGTATTATACTGTATTTAGTTTACTGTATAATGTGCTTTGTTGAGAATCTGTTAAATAATTCTTCTGCTGCCCCATAAAAAACAATATAAATGGGTCACAGAAAGCTCAATTTTTTCATTTTAGTCTTAAACTAATACAGTTGTATTATAATTAATTAAAAATAGAAATGCAGGGCACATCTGGAGGAACCTTGATTTCATCATGTATTAAGAATTTAGAATTATTGTACCACTTCTAAAAACTTCAGTCTTGTTCATCACGAGTCACATTTAAAGCATATTTATCTGTAAAAACACCCTCTTTAAGATAAGTGTGACAAATATTTACTTCAAGGATTGTTCATTTACTTTTGTTCAGCCTTTAATCTATCCTTATCTCTGAATCCTATATAAAAACCTGCTTATAACTGATTTACGTTTCAGA